CATTTTCATGGTGTATGGCACAACTACCATCAAACGCTGCTGCGACCCCAGAGGATCGACGTCGCTGCCCGTCCCGCACGCCCCGGCCACCCAGGCCGTCACCCGACGCACCAGGGTTGTTGTTGCAGATGGCGCTGGAGTCCCAGGCGAGGCGCCCGCCAAACTTGTTCCACTTGCCGTCGTTGCCCTGGAAGTGGGCACACCTGAAGACGGCAAGGTGCCAGGATTGCGAGGGTCAGTGGGACAAACGCAAGCGGCTGCGCAGCTCACATGTTTGATATCCAAGCCCAGCTGATACAACTTTGGATCTGCGTGCCTGTCACTTATCATGGGGGCCCCGCGGTTGCTGGACTGCCAGCCGCCGTCCCGTCGCCCGTGACTCGACGAGAATCGGGGTTCCCCTCAGCCGCAGCTGCTGGAGTTCGGTGCCCAAGCCCCCCCCCTCCACCTGTGGTTGATGACGATGTCCGCGATGGCCTTGAGGCCGGCCTCGTGCAGCGCGTTGATGGCCTCACGCAGCTCACCCTCGCTGCCATACGCACTGTCCAGCTGGTACAGGTCGCTGCGGTGTGTGCGTGTGTGTGTGATAGTGTGTGTGATAGTGTGTGTGTGTGTGATTGTGTGTGTGTGTGGGAGGGGAATGGCATAGAATGAGAGGTAGGAGGTGCCGTGGGGGTGGTGCGAGTGGGTCGCAGGCGAAGGAAAAAGACAGGGTCCCGGGGAGTGATTGAGGGACCTGCTTTTTGCAATGCAGGCAAAGAGTGCTGTGGTATGGAGCGTCAACGTGGCGCAGCAGCAGGAAACGGCAGATCGTGGTGGTTAGGGAAGCTCAATGACGTCTGCCCTCAACCTCCGAGGCCTGTCGAACAGCTGAAGCGGCCACCACATATTCGGCAACGCCGCCAGCAGGTCACAGTCCCCCTCTCTCGAACCCCGCCCCCTCTTGCCGCGGGCGCCCACCGCGGCAGGTAGCCCTGGGGCGACACGCTGTCGCTGGGGGGCGGCAGCCAGACGCTGGTGAAGCCCATCTCCGCCCACTCCTTGGCGCGCGCCACCACCTCCTTGTAGTACCTGGGGGGGTCAGGGGCGGGGTGGGGGGTTCGTTGGTCTGGTGGGCATGGGGAATTTTCATGAAGCAGGCCGCCCTGCTGGATGCGAGTGAGATCTGGCTGAAGCAATGTCGGGCGAAAGCAGCCGCGGCTGAGGCGGGCGGCAGCGTGCGGGTAGCGCTGTCAAGTAACAGGGCTGCGCATTGCAGCCTGCAGGAAGCGGAGGTCTCCTGGATCTACCGTTTGCGGCTGCAGGCCGTCCCGCCCCCCCTGCCCCCGCTCACGATCTCTTGTGGCTCTCCCAGTTGAAGCCCTGCAGCAGCAGCTCATAGCCGTTGCCCGCGCCAGGACCGGTGCCGACCTGAGGGGGGGTGCCGTGCGTAAATGTGTATGTGTGTGTGCGTGTGTGAGTGCGTGTGTGTGTATGCATGTGTGCGTGCATTGGGATGACTTGATGCGCACAGCCCGAGGAGAGGTTCGGAATGGGGAGGGAGAGAGCCATTACGGTGGTGACGCTCGGCAGCTGACACGCGGGGTCCGGCCGCCGCCAGACGTCGTCGTTTGCTGCGCTTGCGCTGCATTTTTCGCCTCGTTCGCACGCCCTGCGTGGCATGGCTGGGAGGCACCTAGCCTGCTGCAAGGACAGCCCGCTTCACCCTCGCGCTCGCACGCCTGCCTTCCATCTGACACGAGACTAATCATCCCCTTTGTTGTTGAGCGGCCATCACAAAAGCTTTGGGCCCCCAAGCAAACGCATGTGCAAGCCATGCATACACACACACGCGCTCGCACACACACACACACACACACACACATGCACACGCGCGATCGGGCATGTGCGCGCGCATCACACCTGCTGTGAAGGGGGCTCTGTCTTGCCCAGCATCTGCTCCTTGAGCCGCTCCGCCGCTGTCTTGGGCTCCTCCGGGGGCGCGTTGGCTTTGGTGCTGTGGGAGCGGCGTGGGTATGAGGAGATGGGTTTGGCTGGGAGGTGGGAGTGGGCGGACAGACTACTTGAATGCCATAATGCAGGGGGGGGGGCCGAGGCAGCGCGGCCTGAGGGTACAAACACAAGCATTGTAGGCGAGCACTCGATCAAAATGGCAACGTGCAGTAGCGTGCATGCCACCGCAGTCACACACCCACAGCATGCGCGCACACGCTTGCGTGCGGATGCGTAGCGACGAGCCCCCACCTGATGATGCGCCTGCCCGTGATCATCGCCTCAATCGCCGCGATGGAGCGCTCCAGAATGGACGCAGCCTCGGACCTGCGGCGTTGCACCGAGGTTGACACAGCACGGTGGGGGTTTATGACATCAGGAGGGGGTGAGGGTTGGGGATGACGCTGGCGCACTTGTGGTGCACGGCGCATGCATTTCAAGGATGGCGCGGACATGGGGTGGCGGAAGCGAGGGGCCGTGCGCGACGAGCCGATACCGTGGCGGGTGTCCGTGAGGGTGGCCTCACCTCGCCTTCTCCGCGGCGGCCATTTTCGAGTCGTCCTCCTGTTGGAACAAGGGCGCGGCGGGCGGCCACAGCTCAGGCTCCACAGCTGCGTCTGGCAGCAGTCGCTCATGTGTGACGAGACTAGGCAGACACGTATGGAGAGGGGACCCCCAGTACAGATCAACCGTGCCTGCGAGTTGCAGCAGCCCGATGCCTGGGCCTGCGCTCCGAAGTGGCACATTGACCGTCATCAGCACAGCAGCAGCAGATTGTCAGGGTCGTACCTTGGAGGCCGCCGACGCCATCCTGCGCTCCGCGGCAGCAAAGCGCGCCGCCGCCACCGCCACCTCTGTCGCGGTGCGCTCCAGGTCCAGCGCGTCGCTCATGGCCGCGTTGCTGCTGTCCGCGCTGCGTGGCGGTGCCCAGCGTACAGGGGCGGAGCGCGTACAGCACTGTTGACGACCACTGCAGGTGGGCACTCCTGAACAACACGTCCACCCGCTCTCTTCGTGATGACATCAAACAGCCGACACAACTTTGATGCGCGGCACGTACGCGCGGCACTTCAGCACTGCCCCCTACCCCTGACCCCGACCACACCCGCCATGCTCGTGCGTCACCAGCCCCCCGCTTCCCTCGCCCGCCCCCTGTGCAACCCACCTGGCCAGCCGCTGCAGCTCCCTCTCAGCCACCATGCCGTAGATGGCGGGCCTCACACTCATGCTGGTGGTGGACACCAGCCGGTCAATCAGCTCGCGCACCTGGGTCAAGTCAAAGTGAAAGTCAAAGCCAGGGTTGCAGGGAGATACGTTCAAAAGGTTCCCACACCAACATTACGGTACCCCTGCGTTCGCTCCCCATGCCGCCAATAAGCTCCTCCGCCGCCCTTTCCTGCCCACCCCTCGCTGTTGACACGATCATTGTACAACTCAAAGCGCCAAGCTCCATTCAGCGCCCTCCCGCACCTCAAAGGCCTGCACGTCGCTCAGCTGGCCGCCGCTCTCGCCGGTAACGCGCACAGTGAACTCGACCATGCCCTCATTGTTGCTGCGCGCGGGCACGTGTGCGTGTGTGTGTGTGTTGTGTGTATGCACATACACAGTTCCATCTCTGTGATGACAGCAGTGCGCGCACTGGTCAACCACCCCAACCCCATAGCAGGGCAAACTACGCCAGGGGTGCCGCAGCGCCATCTGGCGCCGATGCACAGCGACTCAGGCCCCCAGCCGCCTTCCACCCCGCGGCGGCGCTCGACATCGCATGCCCGCACATGCGACCAGCGTGTCGCCCTCTGCAGCACACACCAGACAGTCCGCCCGCCAGGAAGCCACTCGCAAAATTTCTCGTCCTTTTCCCAACGAAACACTGGTGTGTAGTTTTGTTTCCGCTCCGCTGCCGCCGCGGATGCTGCCGGCCCTCACCTGTAAGACGAGGACAGCACCTTGTATCCCTCAGAGAAGAGCCCGTTGACCAGCAGCATCAGGCAATCCGACTGGCCGGGCCCCACCACCTTGATGGTCGTGCACCCGGGGTCGCCCTTGTTGTCGATGGTTGTCTGCTCGGACAGCGCGGGCGTGCGAACAGGCAGCGTATTGCAACTGAATTAGCCGCCACGGCAGATCATAAGCCCAGGGAAACCTGCCGGCACGGAATCCATCGTATGGCGGCCGCTGCCGCAATGAAATGTGCGTTGATGCAGCGTTCGCACGTTCCTATCCGCGCCCCGCCTTGGTGCCGCCATGCTCGCTGCGCCTGCGGATTGGGCACGCACGTGCTCTCGCGCGTCAACATGCCCGCGCTCGCCAGCCCGCCTGGCTCGCCTGCATCGACGCCTCCCCAAACGCGTCAATGCTTGTGAGGGGGACGAGGTCGTTGTTAACTGCCAGGGGCACCATAGTGGACCCGCGGCCCACCTGCAATAGCGGCAGGGCGCTGGTAAGAGTGCAGCATTGGCATGGCACCGTCGCGCAATAGGCAAGAGGCATGCTGATACAGCTGCAGGCATGCAAATGCGCGAGGCAGTCAACGCATGCCAGTGGGGCGCACCTTGTCCAAGCCGCAAGGGAGCGAGCGCCGGCTGTGGTTCCGCGAAAGCGCGCTGCTGCGGCAGGCACTCGTGCCGGCGAACGCCGAGGCCGCGCCGGTCCCGACGCCGGCGCAAGCACCGGCGTGGACCGGCGGGGCGATAAGGCTGCTTCTAGGCCGGCTGAGGTGTGCTGTGGGGGGCGAGCAGCTGTGGTGCAGCCCCAGCATACCCATTTTTGGAGTCAACCGAGTCAGGTCAGGGCGGGGGAGCTGCGACGCCCCCTTGCTCGCTGCTGCTGATGCTTTGCCCGCTGTGCGTGGGGTTTGAACTGGGCCGGGGCCCCTGCGCGCACGAGGTATGGTCAGCAATGTGAGTATTCAGGATGACGCTGATCGCGATGTCGCCGAGTATCGCGCTGTGTCGAGCATGCCAGCCCCCGGCGATCGGTGATCTGCTGCGCCGGAGCCGAATGCATGGTGACCAACGAAAATCTCGCAATACTCGCAACCCTATACTGTCAGCTGGGCACCCCATGCGGTGCATCCGAGCACCACGCCTGCATCACCTGCTCTTTTTGCCGTGCAGGCTGCACAGCGGCTAGAGCCAAGAGCCCTGACCAATTGGCACAAATGTATGCGAGCTTGAAGGCTTCCCCAGACGAGAGCCGTTGGTAGGGAGATCGAAGCACACCGTCTGAAACAGGTCGGCGCTTTGTTTTGAGGAGCCTCGGAATGCCGCCGATGCGCTTTCAAAGAATCAAAACTGCGTGATGGTGGTGTACAAAGGCGGAGCGCTGACTTTGCGCAGACCGCCGCGACTAGGACTCGCTCCGCTGCATCAGTCACGGCCCGTGAAACCCTTTCGCACTAGCCCGCTGCGGCAAGCAGGGCAAGACCACTTGCTCGGCATTCGAGCAAGCAGAAGCGCCAAGCGGCACCCATACTTGGCTCCAAGGGCGCTCAAGGCGGCCCTCGCAGCGGGTGCCGTGGCCCTTACAGCGGGGGCTGCAGGGCAGAAGCTACGCGGCATCGAGGGGCAAAAAGTGAGATGCCAAGATTCACGGCGCGCAGAGGGGTTGACTGCCCGCTCGCACGATCTGCAAATCGCGCAAGCCATCCAACCATGTGGCCTGCCTCCAGTCTTGTAAGCCCCCCTGATCCGCCCAGCCCTGCCTGCCCCTAGCCAGCCCCCTTGCCCCCAGGGCAGGCCCCTGGCCTGCCCGAGCCCACAGGCCACGTCAAGCGGGCAGCAGCGCATCCTCTGGATTTCCGCGCACCCTCCTGTTGCAGCGCGGGATTACACGTCCTGCTTCTGCCGCCGGCCGTCCTCGTGCCGCTGCCGCTCCTGCGCCAGCCGCACGTGCACCCGCCCCAGCCGCACCGCAGCCACCAGCCACGCCCCGCACGTGGCACACCCGGCGATGGCCACGCCGCCCACGCCGAGCTGCAGCTGCACGTCCAGCAGCTGGAAGGCAGCTGCCGCGATCGAGTCGCCCAGGCGCTGGACCACCATGTCGATCACCAGCTTTGCCGAGTACTTTTCCGTGCGGGACACGACCGTGAACAGAACCTGTGCAATGAAGGGGTGGGGAAGTTGGGGTACGGTGCCTATCATGCCGCGCGGGAGGCCACGCCGCGGCACCAGGAGCTGCGCCGCCCGGTGCCGCAAAGGGTGGGCCGCGTTGCGCTCGCCCGCGCAGCGGCCTGCCGGGACAGCGCCAGGCGTGGTCGGCGCACCTCCCTGGCGGGCCTGATGACGGCGTACCCCACCACCTTGCGCACCACCTCCACCCCCGCTATGGTGCTGGGGGACGGCTGCGCGCGTTGCGGGGTTGAACGGAGGACCGAGGGAGTGAGGAGACGGGTCAGTGCAAGAGGAGGGGGCTGCATGATGGAGCGCTTGTTGGGTGCTGCGGCGCTGGCGGGACAGGGTGCAGAAGCGCACCCGCAGCAGGGCAGCCCTGGGGCAGGGTCAGGCCAGGCAGGGGGCGAACAAGGAACGCGTTCAGCAGCGGCCGCGGCTGCGGGATGAGCCGGGCTCCCACCCTCAGCGCGACGAGCGCGAGCCCGGCGAGGCACACGGCCGGGCCCGACGCCAGCGCCAGCGGCACCCCCAGCACGCGCAGCAGCCCCGCAGTGGCAAACAGCTGGCACAGCGCGATGAGGGTGGCACTCCTTTTGAGGGGCGGGGCGGGGCGAGGGGGGTCATTTGGTCGGCCAACCAACAGGAGGCATGCAGCAGCAAGCACACATGAAGGTCACGGGGGTGATGATGGGGGAGCGGGGAGCGGGCGCGCCGTCCGCTCGTGCCAGCGCAGGCACAAGCTGGCACCACCCCCTTGCATCCCCGTTCAGCCCCGCCGGAGCCGTGCGAGTGCACAGGGCCACCGGATCCCCGCGTCCCAGTCGCCCCATCCCTTCGCATCCTGCAGCCCCATGCCGGCGCCCACCATGAGTTGAGCCAAGCAAAGAAGGTGGTGCGCTCCCCCGCGCCCGTCATGGTCTTGGACACCACCAGGGCGCGCTCAAAGTAGAGCAGGCTGCCCACCACTGAGGGGCGGGGGGCAGCAAGGACGGGGCCGGTGGGTCTTCCGTAGCGAGAGAGCAGGCAGGCTGCAAGGCCAGCGGAAATGAGGACAGCGGCGCGCCACTGCGATTGGGAAAATTGCATGCCTGCGCCAGCCCGTACGACGAGGGCGCCCCGCTGGCCCGCGCGGCTCAGGCCAAGTGTGTCAGAGGGAGGGGCGCCAACACACACACACACACACACACACATACACACACACGCACACACACACACACAGATAGTGCCACTGGCGGGGCCACAGGGGGGTGGGTAGCTCGGGCAGCAGGCGAGGCGGGCAGATGGCGCTCAGGCGGCCCACCATATGTGATGAGCAGGTAGGCGCACACCAGCAGCAGGTACTCGCTGGCCAGGATCAGCCTGAAGCCAGCGACCAGATCAGTCAGCACCGACCGCACCGGCACCGCCTCCCCCGCCGCCGCCGCCGCCACCGCCGCCGCCGCGCCGTCGGGCTCGATCACGGATTGCCCCTGAGCGGCCGCCGGAAACGGCGACGCAGCGGGGCCCGCGCCGCCTGCACCGCTGAACAGCTTGTCGGGACGGGCCTGGGGCTGCAGGTGCGGCCCGTTGCTATCCTCTGGCAGCGACGCGCCCGCAACCAAGGGCAGGGCGGCGCCGCTGCCGCTGTGGCGCCGCCGCAGCGCCGGCGCCGGCGCGCCCCGCGCAGGGCCGCCCCCAGGGTCTGTGGCCCCGCGGTCGGGCGCGGCGGAGCCGGGGGCGGCGTGCAGGCGTATGCGCGGGGCGAGCTGCGAAGCCACGAGCAGCAGCGCCGATGACATCAGCACCAGCTGGCTCGACCCCGGCGCCGGCGCCGCCGCCGGCCCGCGCGCCGCCGCAGCCGCGTGCTCGCCGGCGGCGGCCCCGCTGCGCGAGGTCAACGCTAGTGCGACGACGCTGCCGCACAGCTGCCCGAGCGTGGCGCCGGCCGATATGAATCCGAAGAGGCGCGTCCCTGTTTCGGAAAACACGTCCGCGCAGCGCGCCCACAGGGAGGATATCGCCACGAGGTTGTACGTGCTGACCCACGAGTAAAACACCATGCGAAGCACAGCCTGCGCGGTGGACACGCGCGGCTTCTTCTTCTTCTGCTGCTGCTGCTGCTCCTGCTGCCCTGGCTGGCGCGGCCCTCCAACGGCCAAGCGCTGGCCGGCGGCGGCTGCGGCGATCGCCGGAGCTTCGGGCCCGCTGGTGGCGCCTGGACCAGCCGCCTCGCCTGCAGCCTCATCCCGGGCCGCTGCTGCTTCCTCAAGATCAGCCCCCGCCTGCGCCCCGGCTGCGCCGCTGGCGGCGCCCTCTCCGGCCCCTTGTCGCTGCCGAAGGCGCTTGGGGCGGGCGCGGTCGGCCCGGCCACGCGAGCGCCGCTTTTGCGCGACAGGCGCCGCGGCGTTGCCAACACTGCTGCTGCTGCGCTTGCGTGCCGTGACCGCGCCCTCCTCTAGCCCGGCCGCCGCTGCCAGCGTGTCATCGCCGCCGCCGCCATCGTCACGACCATCACCATTACGAACATGATTATCATCGTTCTGACCATCGCCATCGACGTCAACTTTGATCTGGGCGTCCTTATCAACATCCTCCTGCAGCAGGCGCCTCTTCACCTGCTCGCTCAAGTCCTCCGCTTCCCCAGCTGCCACCACCGCTCCTGCTGCCGGCAGCCCCATATCCGCCTGAGCCTTGCGCGCCCCAGGCGCTGCCGTCGTCGCCGCCGCCGCTGCCGCTGCTGCTGCCGCCGCTCGCCCGCTCGGCGCCCAGGGTGGTTCCGAGGCCGCTGCGTGCCCAATGCTCAGGGGGCCCTTCCAAGGCTGCCATGAAGCCAGGGAAACCGGCAGGCGGTCCACCTCAGATTGCAGGTACATTAGATAGAACCCTGCCGGTGATTGCGACAGGATTGGCATCTCAAGCACGGCTGCGTATGCCGGCTGATGCCACAGGAAAGACATCGGACAATCCCACGGAGTGCCCATCGCTAGCGTTGGCGCGGCGCGCTTGCTGCTGCGAGCCCCGCGATGGGCGCACCAAATTGGAGGGCGGCAAGGATCATGTACAGCCGCCGCAGGGCTTTGTCGCGGTCACGTGCGGTCTGTTGCGGGACGCAGGTGCGACCAGCAGCCACCCCGACAGTCAGCGGGGTGTGCGTGTATGTCAGTAGCAGCAGCGGCAGCAGCGGCAGCAGCAGAACAGCAGCAGAACAGCAGCAGAACAGCAGCAGGATATGTGTTGTTTCCTTGTTGGTGAGTATGCTTGCCTGCCTGTTAAGGTAGGAGGACACAAGTGGGGCCGCCATCAGTGCGAGCAGCAAGCTCAGGATGAACAGTTTTGGGAGGGCGCTGGTGCCTGCAGGAGGGTGTAAAAAGTAGTTTCATGAGAGTCTGAAGACTGATGATGGGCGGATAGGAGCATGAGTTACATCCTTGCAGTTGCAGGTGGGGACTCCTTGCAGCACCCTGAGTTGGGCGTGCTGCGTACCGCTGATTCCCCAATGCGCCATCCGACTGCTGCCGGCCTGGCACTCAGTGTTATTGACGCGGCGCGCACCCAGTGCAATAGCCGCATCCTCTCTCAGCGGCAGCACGATGAAGTAGGAAGCTAGCAAGCAGAACAGCGACGAGAAGCCAAAGAGCACCGGGATGACCTGGTGAACGGGTACGTTGGGCGCCAGGTTGTTGTGTTGATCAGCGGGCTACTGAATGGCTGCAGAGCATGCGTGGCATGCATCTACGCGCTCCTGCATGGCGGCCGCATCAAAATAGCTCGTGCGGCGGGAGGCGGTGCCGGGGTGCGGCGCACAGCACAATCGCCATGCGCACCTCATCATGATGCACTGGCACCAGCTGCGACAGCAGCCAGTGCAGGCGTGTGCCGTCAGAGCTCATCTACACATGCCGTCGTCTTCTACGGTGTCCAGCTTCGGATGTTGGTTGATAGTCCTGCCAGCGATCTACACCATAGCTAAGCATGCGGAAACGTATAGCTATTCATGTGAAGCCGGGGCACATATGAAACCGTTTTGTCCACAATGAGCTGCCGTGGGGCTCAGTGCACAAAGGCCACTGTGGTCCAGTGCGCCCACCAGTGCTTCCTGGCACAAAGGTGCCATCAGCCACACTGGTGGCAACTGTGCCACAGGAGGCAGTGCTGACCAACCCTTGTTCTGAATACTTTGATGTTCATGTACCGGCGTGACGATGAGATGGCCGCGCTGCCCAGATGCGCCCAGACGCGACTGGCTGAGTCAACAAAATCCTCTCACAAGGCAGCGCTTCGTTTCTATGTGTTGTTGTACTGAAGACAGCATCAGGGGGCATCAGCCGCACATAAGATGCTGGCCTGCAGATCGTACTGTCATGAAGTGTGATGTTTCAGATCAAAGAAAGCGCAGCACAGACGCAGCCGGTGGCACTGGACGGTCAAACTCATTACGAAATCCAAACGGATCCAGTGGCTGTTGCCATGCTTTAGCTTGTCCGCCATCAATGCCCTATCTCGTAACGAACTCCTTGCCCTCAGAACGCCGACACTGTTCAACCTGCACCATACGCCATGTACAACCAACCGGACCTAAATGTGACTTCCACCTGGCGAGGTGCGTTGCTCAATGGGGGCAGCAAACTCCTTTGTCAAGGCATGCCTGCAATTGTCCTATTTGCAAACCTGCCTGCAGCACCTGTTGTTGCAGCAAGTCTCTGCAACCACTGTGGAATCAAGCTGTTGCGCAGCGCTCCCTCAGCATGCTTCCTGGTGCGCATGGCTGAGATGCGGCACTGTGGTGACATGGGGACGGTTGCGACTGCCCCACACAAATCGCGCCCCAATGCCTCGGCCCTCAATTACAACAATTGCTTGGTATTCATTGGCCGTACAACTCCCTGAACTCGCATGTAGAAGGACTGATCTACGTGATGGGGCCGCGCTTGCTGTGCTGGGCGCTACTCGCGCTGCTTTGGCAGCATGCAAGCACAGCTGTCGGTATACACATAATCTATGATGAAGCGTTGTGGACAAAACAGAACTGGGAACAATACAAGATCGATCCAGGCATATGGGGACACCTCAACCCATCGGACGACATCATCAAGGACCTTGACCTGCTATCCGTGGTCCAGCAGACGACCATGAACAGCCTGGACGGCCCCATGCCCCGTCGCACATCGCGTCCGCCAATGTGCGTCACCAGCAGCGCACAATGCTTGTGTGCGCCCCTTCGTGCAATGCTTTGAGCTTCCAGGAGCCTGCTCCATCAAGCGAATGCTGTTTGCTCCTCAGCATAACAATCGGTCACATGGCCGCATAGACTACGCGTCAGCACAAACGCCGTGTACTCATATTGCCGGCGCGCCCGCAGTTCGTTCCTCACCTCCGCCCACGAGGGGGGGTCTGCCGGCGCCGGCGGATTCACAAACATGGCGGCGGTGGACCAGGGCGCCCAGGCCGTGCAGTGCACCGTCTGCCATGGTGGGCGCCCACGCGCAGGGGCGCGCCGGCGAATCACTCGAGCACCGCCTCGGCAGCTTCGTGGCTCGCAGACACGTGGAGCAGGCGGGGGGCAGCAGGCCGGCTCGCGAGGCAACCTGGCCACTGCACACCCCCTCAGCCCTGGGGCACGCCTCGCCACCATCCCGCAGCCGCACGCCCTCTCGCTCTTGCCGCCGCACCCCGCTCGGCCGCAGAGCGCCCGCGGCCGCTTCGAACAACCGCGCGC